CAGAAACTCTGTCAGGCCCTACTGATTTGCTTTTTTCCATCCCTGCTAGCCTTTTTCTAATGATTTTAGTACTAATGGCGAAGGGTTCGCCTGAGTTAGCGCATTGTATCTGCGGGATGCTACGCTCGCAGCTAAATACCGAAGAATAATAGAAATTAAGGGAGTTGGCCTTTTCTATCGAGTCAGTAATGAGCCGTCCATTACCATCCTTGATCGCCGGAATATTTTCCCTGTTTCCTTTACGTCGTTTTACATACTTGTAGAAATCGGTCCAGCATTTACCTTCATTTCTTAATATTGTCCGTAAAAATGTTTCCTGCGCATTTTGTTTAGCTAATAGCAACTGCTTTGATAGACGTTTCAGTTCCTCTTGGTGCTGTTGTCCTAATTTTCTGCTGTTATATGCTTTTCTCACCCTTGACTTTAACCGTTTCACCTCCTTATTGTAGTATTCAGGGTCCGAATTTTTTCTCAGTATTTTATGTGGCACAAAACGTTGGAAATATAATTCAAATATACTAGCCACTTAATAATATTAGTTCACCCCAAAATTGCAGAATACTTTGTGCAAATATTTTGCACTCTGAATAGTCTCACCAGAGATGAGTCAGTGAGTGTATTTCTGGGGCCCTGCTTTAGATAATCTTCTCTTCTTTCAGTCCCAGTGATGGCTTATGCAGTGAAGGTGAACCACAAGTGCTTGCAGTGACAGTGCCAGAACCAGAACCAGAAGCTTCTAAACCCAAGGGTAGTCCTGTTTCTGAACTGCCAAAGGATGTTGTTGACTTTGATAAGGAAACCTTAAGGGACCCCTTTCAAGTGTCTCTGTATGCCATGGATATCTTCAGCTACCTCAAGGAGAGAGAAGTGAGCCAGTCATTTTTATCCTGAAACAATTTGTTTGGCAGCCACATAAATATAACTCCAGTGATTTGATATTTTAGTCTTTTGTATGATTAAGTAGGAGTTAACATTGCACTACCTAGTTTCTGTGGGCCATGAAGTGTTTGATAACTTTAGAGTTAAACTTTATTTTGAAGAGAGCATTACAATTTTATGATATACAGATATTAAAACAGAGTTATGAGGACCAACTTTGAAACTTTCTTACTCACGTTATACTGTCCAACTTTCAGTGCAGCTAGCATTTTATTCAAATACCTACCAAAAGTACACACACCTTGTCATAGAAATAAAACAAGTTCTGATATAGATAGGAAGTATGGCAATTTAAAAAGTATTGTAAAATAAATAATATTTGAGTTACTATAATACACAACATTCTAACACAAGGGTGGATGGAAGAATGCAATAAAACTCAGCTTTGTGTTTGAAGTACATTTTTTGAAAGCTGACTTCTAAATTTAAGTAACTAATTGCAATGGTAGGACACTGCTGATCTTGGTCCAACCAAATTTTTATAGTCCTATTATTTTCACACCAGCATTGGTATAATTGGATATTTTTAAGCTGTGTTCTGCCATTTACATCCCTTTATTGTAACTTCCTTAATGTTATCCTGTTATTTTTAACAAGATCACAATTTGATGTTGGGTATTTGTTACCTTTTCCAGGTGCTGTATAAGATTGACAATTATATGGAAAGACAACAATCAATTACACAGTGGATGCGATCACTGTTGGTCGATTGGATGGTGGAGGTTCAGGAAAACTTTGAACTTAACCATGAAACACTATACTTAGCAGTCAGATTAGTTGACCTGTACTTGACAAAAATTGTAGTTAACAAAGAGACACTTCAACTGCTTGGAGCTGCAGCTGTATTTATTGCTAGCAAGTTTGATGTAAGTAGTTTTGACTAAATTTTATAATTAAATGTTATTTAGCTAGATGAACTAAGTCACAAACTTAAAAGTATTAAACATGTAACATCATGTGCATATGCACACACAAATATACAGTGGAACACTGTATTTACTATGATTTGGGGGTTGATGAAAAATATTATAAATTTCAGTAAATCATGTAAGTAAATAAAAGCAGTGTATGATTAATTTTACAATATAATTCCAAGAAACTAAATATGGATACAATATTTCCTTGGTATGTGGGCTATTTAATATCTGTAACATTGGGGAGCGTAAATTTTACAATGATGGGATCATTGTCAGAGGTCAGTACACTTTCTTGGATGCTTTGTGTGGTAATTTTTTCCAGGTAACCCCAAAATTCTGCAACAAAATGCTTTTGGAAACAGCTTTAAAAGAATTCCCAATCCATCCACGATCCTTTCTGGTTCTAATAGTGGACAGGAATGCAGTTTGCTTTGGTACTCATGAATGATTGTTTAGGATCCACTAATATTTGAAAAAGACCTAGTGCCTTTAGCATACCCTCTCTCTACTATGACTGCTAAAAGAAACCTCACCAACCCACCATTGATACTGACTGTAAAGCAACAAAGATATTGTTCAACCCTGTCTTATGTAGACCCTCA